AGAGGAACTGGGGAATGGAATAATGTCCTCACAGGAAGTGGAGTGTGAGGAAATGTCAGCAAGGTAATGGTGTGTGTCTTTGGACTTGTAGTGAGGTATAGTTGGTAAAATATCACCAAAAGTAGAGAGAGGGATGTCAGGAAGTGGAGGGAAAGAATCCGCTCCCTCTACGTGTTCATCTGTCACCAGTATAGTCTGAGAGCTGTCTGCTTGTTCTGTGAATGGAGGCCCAACAATATTTTATCCAACACTACAGTTATTATAAAACCTTACAGTGTAGGAGTAGGCCATTCAGCCGATTCATTGATAATTGTATCAGTGTTGCCTCTTCTCTCTCATACGGTTACCTTGACTACACTTTCTCACAGCTGCTTCCGCTGAGGACTGTATTACCACTTCTCCCAGATTCTTCATTACCATTTCATCTGTTCAGAAGATGCAACTTTATCGTATTAGCACTTCCAATTATGTAATGTTCTTCAACCAAGGACTCCACCACCCTCAGCGTGATTGATAGACACTCAACAGTGTTTGATTAGTCGATTTCAGACTTTTGCTCTTACCTCTTGCCCCCCCAATTCCTCCCAGATTCATGATAGAGTTCTCTTGCCTTCATCTTCCAAATTGTTACGATTAAGGTTGGAGGATTGCATTGCTTCTGTCTAGCCCCATTAAGGGTAGAGTTGCCATAGTCTTGCCAGACCAAAGAGCTGCTCTCTGTCCGAGAGAGACAACTGGTGTTTCATCACTCTTCAGGCAAGGGAAAAGATTGAGAAGGAGAATCCTTCTTGGTAACCTTAGCCAGTACAGGAATTGAACAGTCATTGTTGGCATCATTCTACATTGCAAACCAGATGTCCACTCAACTTGGCTGACCGACCCCAATTATGCCACTGGTCACATGATCAATTTAAATACTTCACCCGGTTACTGATGGGACCAATTATACCACATTAATGGATTTTTTAAAATTCAAACCTAATCAGGGTATCTTTATTAATCAACAAAATTATTGACTTATTACAAAATAAGACACATTAAACCAAGATGAAAATTGGTTTTGCGTGCAATGTCAAGTTTGAAATTATAAGAATTTGCCTTTCTAACTAACCGAACACACTCAAATATGCGCACAGGTAACTAAAGCAAATAGATTTTCTCTGCAGTATTGACTTTGAAAGAAAAACATTTTAGCCAATAATTGTAAGTTTTGAAGGGGGGGAAAAAAAAAGGTACAAAATTTTCAGTAATTGGATGTTATACAGCAAAGGCAGTTGTCACGAAGATCCTCACAGGCAGTTCATTCAGGAAACATCCAGAAGAGATGTTTCAAAGGCTTTTTGGGTGAACAGTTGGATCAGTGTTTCAGTTATCTCTTGGGACCTCCAAAAGGGTTTTCTCCGAAAGGTAAAGGATGCAAAATGAACTTCCAGAGGAAGTGGTGGATGCAGGTACAGTTAAAATGTTTAAAAGACATTTGGATAAGTATGTGAATAAGAAATGTTGGAAGGATATTGTACAAGCGCAGGCAGGTGGGACTAGTTTAGTTTGGGATTACGGTCAGCACGGACAAGTTGGACCGAAGGGTCATACAGCATGGAAGCAGACTCTATGAGCTGTATGATATCTCTCTCTCGGCTTGCTGTAGCTCAGCTAAATTCCCGACAATACCAAAAATGCCACAGCTCTTGACCACAGGGTACTCCGACATGTGACTTACAGTTAATCCAGGAGTTTTTTTGGAGACCTGTGCCTTCCAGTAAATCCAGCAGGTAGCAATCTCTGCTTTTGACTTAGCTTAAACTGTGATTTCCAATAATTGATTTTGAAAAATAAAGTGACTCATTATCTTGTCAGTGACCTGTTTTTTTAAAAGAAGGGCATGATCTCAAAACTCCAAATGAATTGCTGTGTACAATTCTTTAAACATAAAACCTGAAAGAAAATTGTCCCGGATATTCTGAGGAGTGGTAAGTCAGTCAGATTACTATACAGCTCATTTTTGAGCATTCATAATGAGGTCTGTATTTCTTTAGGGAATTTTTATCCTGGCTCTTTCAGAAATGGAAAACATGGCTGAAATTCCTACAGTTCTCTGTAACGTAGGATAATTAGTGGAGGTCAAACCACAGTTCCTTTTGCAGTAAGTTGTTGAGATTTTGAGATTTAAATGTCCAGTAATGCAGCCAGAAATTTTCACAGCTATACTGAAAGCCTGAATGTGTAAGATGAATGTAGGGTTAGTGTGGCAATCAGTTAACGAGTTAGGATGTTAGGTGGATAGTGTGCAAGGTTAGCATGATGGAGTGCTTGGGATAGGTCAAGGGGGATTGTGAGAGTGTGTGTGGCTAGTGGCAGTGGGGTAGTGGCTCAGTGGACAAGGGTGTTATCAAGGCTGGTGGTAGGGGGATTCTACAAATGCGTTAAGGACAAAAGGTTAACTAGGGAGATAATAGGACCCCTTAAAGATCAGCAAGGCCACCTATGTGTTGGAGATAATAAACAAGTATTTTGCATCAGTGTTTACTGTGGAGAAGGATATGGAAGATAGAGAATGTGGGGAAATAAGTAGTAACATCTTAAAGTGTCCATATTACAGAGGAGGAGGTGCTGAACACCTTAAAAAAACATAAAGGTGTATTAATCCCCAGGACCTGATCAGGTGTATCCTAGAACTCTGTGGGAAGGGAGGGAAGAGGTTGCTGGGCCCCTTGCTGAGATATTTGTATCTTCGATAGCCATAGGTGAGGTGCCTGAAGACTGGAGGTTGGCTAACGTTGTGCCACTGTTTATTTAAGAAATCAAAAACCAGGGAGCTATAGATGGGTGATCCTGACATTGGTGGTGGGCAGATTGTTGGAGGGAATCCTGAGGGACAGGATTTATATGTATTTGGAAAGGCAAAGACTGATTAGGGATAATCAACATGGCTTTGTGCGTGGAAATTTGTGTCTCACTAATTTGATTGAGTATTTTGAAGAAGTAGGAAAGAGGATTCATGGGGCCAGAGCAGTGGACGTGATTTATATGGATTTCAGTAAGGTGTTTAGCAAGGTTAGATCACACAGAATACAGGGAGAACTAGCTATCTGGATACAGTACTGTCTTGAAGGTAGAAGACAAAGGGTGGTGGTGGAGGGTTGCTTTTCACACTGGAGGCCTGTGACCACCAGTGTGCCACAAAGATTGGTGCCGGGTCCACTGCTTCTTGTTACTTATATAAATGACTTGGATGTGAACATAGGAGTTATGGTTAGTAAATTTGCAGATGATACCAAAATTGGAGGTGTAGTGGACAGCAAAGAACGTTACCTCAGAGTACAATGGAATCTTGATCAGATGGGCCAATGGGCTGAGGAGTGGCAGATGGAGTTTAGTTTAGATAAATGTGAGGTGCTGCATTTTGGACCAGCAAATCAGGGCAGGACTTATACATTTAATGGGAAGTCCTGGGGAGTGTTGCTGAATAAAGAGACCTTCCAGTGCAAGTTCATAGTTCCTTGAAAGTGGAGTCACAGGTAGATAGGATAGTGAAGAGACTGTTTGGTATGCTTGCTTTTATTGGTCAATGCATTGAGTATCGGAGTTGGGATGTCATGTTGCAACTATGTAGGACATTGATTTGGCCACTGTTGGAGTATTGCATGCAATTCTGGTCACCCTGCTATAGGAAGGATATTGTGAAACTTGAAACGGTTCAGAAAAGATTTACAAGGATGTTGCTGGGATTGGAGGGTTTTATCTATATAGAGAGAGGTTTAATAGGCTGGGGCTATTTTCCCTGGAACGCTGGAGGCTGAGGGGTGACCTTTATAGAGGTTTATAAAATCATGAGGGGCATGCATAGAGTAAGTAGGCAAGGTCTTTTCTCTGGGTGGAAGAGTCCAAAATTAGATGGCATGGATTTAAGGTGAGAGGGAAAGATTTAAAAGGGACCTAAGAGGCAACTTTTTCACACAGAGCGTCATGTGTGTACGAAGTGAACTGCCAGAGGAAGTGGTGGAGGCTGGTACAATTACAACATTTAAAAGTCATCTGGATGGGTACATGTATAGGAGGATTTAGAAGAATTTGGGCCAAATGCTGGCAAATGGGACTTGATTTACATAGGATATCTGGTCGGCATGGACGAGTTGGAATGAAGGGTCTATTTCCATGCTGAATATCTCTATGACCCTATGGTGGCAGTTCAGGCCAGCATTAATTAGGGAAAGGGATAGTGGAATTGTGTAGGGTCAGGGCTGGTTTGGTCACTGGGGTGATTTTGAGGGTCTGGGAGCTGTAAAAGGTTGGGGATTTGTAATTGAGGATGGAGGTTTCTGTGATGAGTTGTAGGTGTCCGCTTAATAGTTACCAAGGAATTTGATTAGGATTTTAATCATCTAACTTTTCCTGAGTAATTATTATCAGAAGTGAAAACCTCCAATGTTAGGACTTTTGCCTTTTTGTCCAAGATGCAGGCGGATCAATTTCCCACTGCGTTAGCAGTGCCTACGATTACATAGGGTCCGAGCATGCAGTCTGCAGTGCTCCATTGATTACCTGGCAATTGGAATATATATTATTAATCAATTGGCTTCATAACAACACCCTTTCACTGACCTTCCCTTTTATTCTTCTTCCCAACTTTTGTTTGCTGAAAGTCTGACACTTCTGTCTCTCTTGGGTTCTGATGAAGAGTATTCAGCCAGAGACACTATCTTTGGTTCTGTCTCAAGAATGTTGTGTGATCACTGAGTCTTTCTAGTATTTTTTGTTTTAATCATTTAATTTGTTCATAAAGCTCCTTCCTTTTTCACTCATTTTGGTTTGTATCTTGAGGTTTAAACTGCATAATTTTATTTCTGTTAGCATATTAAAACAAGTATTCCATGGATGTTTTGAAAATCTTAGATAGCAGACAAATGACAATTTATTTGTTTGATTAGTAATATTTGTATTGTACAATTTTATTTAAATAAATCTGTTTGTTTTAAGATTTTGATTTTTTTTTCTGAAAGGTGATGATGAACAAAGTGACTGGTTTTTTGAGGGTGAATCTGGTGGTGCATGTGGTATCGCAGGGATCATTCCCTGGTGGGAGCAAGATGACGCCCTGGAACTTGAGACAGAATTGCCAGATCCAGTATTTGAAAGCATCTTAACTGGCACCTTCCCACTTATGTCGAAAACAGCTCAAAGAGGTCAGTATCATTCTTATTTCCAGTTGCAGGAGTCGGGCTATAAAATAATTTGACTTATTTTTTTGAGCGGACAATTGTCGGTGCTCAGAGCTGTTAGACTATCAAGTTTAAGTAATTGAAATTTGTTTTTACTTGGCAATTTTATTTCTTTTTATGCCTTTGCCCAGTGTATAATTGTATTAGGAAGAAATTGGGTTAAGTCAATTTGCTTGAATAAATACCAAGAAGCAAGACAGAAAATGATTTATACACAGAGAAAAGGAAGATGGTTTTTGTTTCATATTTCATCCTTGCATATTGTTATTCAATATTAATTGTATATTTTGTAAGAATACAGAATATTTTATTGTTATAAATTGATGTTGTTTTATCAGAACATGTTTTATGCTTTATGTACATGTTTAATTTAAATACTTTTCAAAGTTTTTTTAACATATGTTGCATGATGATTATCTTTTTAATATAACCATTTTGGAGTCTTTGTGTAACAGTGAATGAACAAAATTATTTGGGCAAAACTGACTTTCAGAATTTAAAAAAAAAGAACTTGTGTGGTTTTTCACTCATTCATGGGATGTGGATGTTGCTATCTAGGCCAGCATTTATTCCATCCACATTGCCCTGACATAGTTTCAAACCAGAATGGCTTGGCGGGGAACTTTCAAGTGATGGTGTTCCTGTGCATCTGCTGTTCTTGTCATTCTAGGTGGTTGCGGGCTGGAAGTGTGGTATCAGAGGTGCCTTTGTGAGTCATTTCAGTGCATCTTGTAAGTGGTGTACACTGCTGCCACTGCGGGTCAGTGGTGGATGGAGTGGATGTTGAGGTTGATGGATGGGGAAGTTGTCAAACTCCCTGTTTTATTTCTTGGTTGATGATATGCATTTTGAGTGTTGTTGGAGATGCATCATGCACTAATGTAGACTGTATTCCACAACAGCCATGACTTATGCCTTGTAGACAGTGGGCAGGCAATGGGAAGACAGGAAATGAGTTACTTGTCGTAGAATTCCTAGTTTCTGACTTGCTCTTAAAACAACAGTATTTAACTGGCTAGTCTAGTCTGTTTCTGGTCAATGATAGCCCCCAAGATTTTGCTTATGTGGATTTCAGCAGTGGTACTGTCGTTGAACGTCAAAGGAAGATGGCTAGATTCTTCCTTGTTGGAGATGGTCATTGCCTGCCTTTAATTTGGTCTGAATGTCACTTGCCATTTACTAAGCCAAACCTAAGTGTTGTCCAGGTCTTTCTTCATTTGGACATGGGCTGTTTCCATATCTGAGGAGTCATGAATTGTGTTGAACATTGTGCAAATATCAGGGGACATCCCCACTTCTGACCTCACTGGAGAGGCTGGGGTGGGGACGGGGGCATGGTGGTGGGGTCATTGTTGAAATAGCTGCAAATTGTGGAACACTATGCTGAGGAACTCCTCTGATAAACTCAGGCAGTAATTATCTGGATTGAATTCGTCCTGATTGCTTTGCTTTGCACAGGACATACCTAGACAGTCTTCCACAATATCAGTAATATGCCAGTCTTCTAGCTGTACTTGAACAGCTTCACGAAGGGCTGAGCTAGTTCTGGAACATAAGTCATCAGTACCATTGCCAGAATGCTTCAGTCATTCCTTGATATCACATAGAATGAGTCCAATAAGTTGAATACTGGGGACTGTGGCAAGAGGTCTTGTTGGATTACCCATTTGACATTGGCTGAAGTTGGATGCAAATGCTTCAGCCTTATCTTTTGCAGTGATGAGCTGGTCATCCCCTATTATTAAGGATGGGGATATTTGTGGAATTATCACTTTTCTGATACTTGTTCAATTGACGACTGCGCCACATTTGAATGTGACAGGACTGTTGACCTTAGATCTGATCTACCGCTTGTGAGATTGCTTAACCCTTTCTGTTGCATGCTGCTGCCATTGTTTGGCATGGAAATAGTCCTGAGTTTTAGCGTTACCAGGTGGACACTTCATTTTCAAGTCTGCCGGGTGCTGCTTTTGCACTCTTCTTTGAACCAGAGTTGATCTCTCGGCTTGATATCAGTGGTAGAGTTAAGAGTATGCCAGGTGATGAAATTACGGCTTGTGGTTGAATACAGTTCTATGTTGATGATGACCCACAGTGCCTCATGGATATTCCATTTTGACTTGTTAGTTCGGTTAGACATCTGCCCCATTTAGCCAGTGGTAATGCCACACAACATAAAGTATCCTCAATGTGGAGACTTTATCTCAACAAGGACAGTGCAGTGGTTGCTCCTGCTGACACTGTCGTAGACAGATCCATCGGTGACCAATAGATTAGGTAAGGATGAGTTCAAGTAGATTTTACCCTTTGGCTCCTTTGTCATTGCTGTAGACCCAGTCTAGTAGCTATGTTGTTGAGGATTTGGCCAGCTTGCATAGTGCTACTATGCCAGTCTTGGTGATGGACATTGAAATCCCCCAGCTAGAGTATGTTTTGTGCTCTTGTCACTCTCGTTGTTTCCCTTAAGTGGTGTTGAACATGGAAGAGTACTGATTCATTATGAAAATGGGTGATGGAGGTTGCAGTAGTTGCCAATCAGTAGGATGTTTCATTGCCCATGTTCAACTAGATGCCATGAAATTTCATAGGATCAATGTTCAGGACTGCTAGGGTAATTCCTTATCGAGGGTACACCACTGCGCTACCACCACTGGTCAATCTGACTTGCTGGTGGGACAGTGCAGATGCAGGGATTGTGACAATGGTGTCTGGGACATTGTGAGTATCACTTTTTGTCAGACTGTTGTTTGATTATTCTATAAGACACCTGTCCAAACTTTGGCACAAGCTCCCACATGGAAGTAAGGAAGATTTTCTAAGATCAATAGGGCTCTGTTTGCTGTTGTTGTTTCCTGTGCTTAGATTGGTGCCAAGTATACTGTCTGGTTCCTTTCCTTTCTTTAGATTTGCTAGACTATTTTAGAGGGCAGGAGGGATAGATTTTATATACACACACATACCATCACTGTCACTTGGTCAAACTTTTGGAAATGCCTCCCTAAGAGCACCTTGAGTGCACCAGTTATAGGTTGCAAATGGGTGCACCACTAAGAACTGTATTGTTCAAGTAAGTAGCTTGCCGTTGTCTTCTCGCGGGCAACTAAGGATGAGCAATAAATGCTGGCATGGCCAATGATGTCATATCCTGCAAAAGAGTATAAAAGGCCACAATTTGTTGACTTCCAGGTAAGAGTGATTCACATTGGTCCATATTATAAAGTTAAGTTTGCATATATTATGAAAAATGACTAAACGTACTTGATATAGCTATTAACCAATTGCTGCTCTGAAAAAATGGAATTTTGCACAAAATCTTCAAATGAAAGAATAGTTTAAGATATAGCCATAGAGATGTACAGCATGGAAACAGACCCTGTGATCCAACTCGTCCATATCGACCAGATATTCTAAATTAATCTAGTCCCATTTGCCAGCATTTGGCCCATGTTCCTGTAAACCGTTCCTATTCATATACCCACCCAGATGCCTTTTAACTGTTGTAATTGTACTCAGCTCTTCTGGCAGCTCATTCCATGCACGCACCACCTTGTGTGTGCAAAAAGTTGCCTCTTAGATCCCTTTTAAATCTTTTCTGTCTTACCTTAAACATATGCTGTCTAGTTTTGGACTTGCCTCCCTGGAGAATTCTTGTATTGGAAAATAGGGACTGAAATCAGGAGCAAATTGACAATAAGTAAAAATCATTGTCATCAAGTAATCGAAATCTATATTTCTGTGAAATAGCATCTTCAAAAATAATTCTAAATCTTATGTTCAAATTTGTTGACAATATAGAACAGTGGGAATTTATGAATTTGAATTTCTCTGAATAAATTTTTAAAATATTTGTCATGTCATTTATTTCAATGTCAAGATGTGAGTGCAGTTTCCAAAGGGTTAATACATATCCTTGACCAAATTACGACAGTACTTCGTCTATAATTAAAAAAAAAAATTAGATTTGCCAATTACTTTTTGCCTGACTGGCAGTGTTTTAAATAGTTGAGGTCGAATTGTACCCCACGCTCCTTTTGACTGAAATAGCTGTCAAATAGGTCATATCAAAATCTCTTAAACTACTGCTGGTTTGATAGGTTTTCAAGCGAGACTCACTCGACTGTCTGGAATGGCAAATAGAAGTGGCAGAAAGGAGCCCAGGAAGACATCCACAAAGGTAAGCACATTTATTCTTTCTCTTTGTCTTGTGTCGCTGCTGTGATAGTTTAGATTGGTACCTTACTGAAGTTAGGTAGTGAAGATGTTATAAAGACCTTGGCCTGTGACCTCTGCCCTCTCTGGTCATGGTTCAGGTGGCCATCTATCTCTTGATCCCTTTCCTACCTCCTTTCTGTTTCGCTTCATTGCGAGCCTGAGCATAACTGGGATTTGTAGCCTATTTTCCAGTCTTATTGCAATCTCACAGTGGTGTTTTATAGGAGCCATTACAACTGATGGATTAGTTCTCATGGTATTTATGACATATGACGTACCCATGGTGTTACCAGCAAAGGGCATGAAGAAAGGAAAAAAAACAACTGATTCCTCCTCCAAAACCTGAAGGGTGTTAAGCTTTAAATTATTTTGTGAGAGACGTGCATTTACACAGTGCTGTGCTTGTCTTCTTTTTTGGTGTCTAGCAATCTAGTCTAAAATTGTTCTAAGTATCTAGAAACTGGCTGCTAATGTGAACTGCTGTTGATGAGAGAGATGCATAGTTTGCTAGCTGGAATATGTTAATGAACTAAATCGGCTGTGTTTAACTCCATATGGATTATGAAAAGTTCTTAGATTCCAGTGCAAAATTTGTTTAAATTAAGAGAATATGATTAAAATGAATGTTCATTTTAATTCATATATATTGACCAATTTTTGTTTAAAAATGTGACTCTTTTGTCTTTGTGCAATTTTTGGCAGAGTACAAAAGTAAATTAGCAAATTTGAAATTATTTTCTTCTAAATATGTAATTAATGAATATGGATTAGGATTTTTTTCTCTGTTGTTTTACTATGCTTTCATGGCGTGCACTGCATTTTAATTTCTTCAGCAGAAATTATGTTGGATAACACTGGATTATTATTTGTGGCTTTGATTACAATATTTTACCAAAATGTTCACATGAAATGAATAGATATTTGGCAGTACATGTTAAGTATCATGAAAGCTTTCTCAATTATCTGTTTTTTTTCCTTTAATGTATTCAATTTTATTTTGAGGATTTTATTTGTATTGCACATTTAGTCATGGGAAGCAAGGACACAAATTTACCAAAGCTGTTTAAATCTACATTTAATTAATTTACTTTTAATTCTATTTACTGTTCTTTGAAATTAGAAAAAAATTCCTACACTTGCTCTATTTGGTTGCAAAAAATGGGTTGATACCTTAAGCCTCATAGAGTTAAAACAGAAAATTGTTCAACTGTATCAGTAAATGGATTTGAGATTCTGGGTATGAGTAGGGTACCTTGCGCCAAAGTCTTGTCACAGAATTAGATGTCAAAAATCTTCTTCAGGTTTAGATATATGGTTCACAGCCACTGGGTATGATTAATACATACAATCTAAATCATTGAAAGTTCCTCTGTTCTTTTCGTAAAATACAATAGAGCACAAATCACTTAAACCATGGGAGGATAACAATTGGAAAATAATGCATCTTCTCTACCAATGAATTGTCAGTTATATTTAATTTAACCAAAATCAATTCATCTTTCTTGCATTAGATGAAACTACTTGCAATAAATCTTCACCTAATGTTTGATCCATCTTTTTGATACATCTACAACACTTTATTTTCAAGCCTGCAATCCTGCATTTTAAATCTATGGAAATACATGGAAGTCTTGTTTTTTTCCCACCCTTCAGAAGCTAACATTTGTTTGCTAGTCGGAGACTATTTAACATATCATTTTGTTTGTTTGACCTGCTCTTTCTCTTTTTGTTTCTGTCTTCAATTTCCTTGCATCATCGTCATCATCATTGTTCCTACAGTGTTTTTGTTTTTATTTCCAATTTCTTTTGACTCCTTTTTTCCCCCTTTTTTTGTGCCTTCCTGGGATTTTTTTTTCTGTGTTATAAGCAAGTTTTTTTAAGTGAAATGTCCCAGAAACTGTCTGTCATAGTCAAGAAGTGGACAATAACTGGATTATGTATAACATGTATCATTGTTGTTTATTCGCCTATTGTGATTTGAGGTGACTGTAGAAGTTAAGTTATTAGCTCATTGACCAAACTTACTTCCAAGTTACAGCACAAAATGTGAATAATTTGTGTCATTAATGGGATCAACTAATTTTTTGATAGGCAGGTCTTGTAACACTTAAGTACTTGAGCTGTTAGAATTTGGTTGTTACTGTTTTATTCTTTTTTTTACCCGTGCTATTTTTTTTACTTTTTTCACAGATTTGATTGTTTGTTTATCTTGTTTACTTATTACATTGACTTGACATTTTCTTGCTTTTTAAAATCTGATTCTAGAGAGATTTAAGTTTGTTTTCTTATTCAACCTGATTTGAATTTAAATTGCAAATTCTGAATGTCCAGTTTAGCGACAAGTCGATTGTAATAATTAGTTTCAATAAAACAAAGCACAACTATTTATAAACTTAAGAGATTTTGACGGCACAGTTAAGGAAATCCTTTTCCCATTGGCAGGATGGTTAATAATGCAATGATACAAAGTTAAAATCAACTTTTTTATGCAATAAATTGCTAAGATCTAGGAATCACATCCGAAAGGGCTGGCGTCACAGATTCAATAGTAACCTATTGATTGAAAAGGAAAATATTACAGGACAATGAGGAATAAAGAAATACCATGAATTAGATATCTCTTTCAATGAGCTGGGTCAAATCAGCTGATTGTGATTGTCAGAATGGCCTGATAGGTTGCATGATTGTATGAACAATACAGCATAAACAGAGGCCACTTGTGCCTCTGCTGGCTATTTGAAAGAGCTGCCCAATTGCTACCAATCCATGGCCCTAAAACAATATTCACTTCAAGTACTATCTAATTTTCTATTGGAAGGTGCCATTGAATTTGCTTCCACTGTCCTTGGAGCATAACTTCAAGGGCACAGAAATACAATGCATACCTTTCCTACAACCCGTCATCTCTTTTCTGGTTCTTTTTTCAGTCCTTCTGCCACTGGCATCATAAGTTTTCCTTCTTGATGCTGTCAAATCCATGTTGACCATTTATAATTTCAAACTTCTCCATTCAAAATTTTACATCTAGATGTAAAGGCATCATTGCTCCACTTTTTTTAAAAAAAAATCCTTTTAGCCAGTCACAACAAATATTTATCTCTATTTTATAGTTGTTTAGCATGTAGCTTCGCACTCCAGTTAAACTTGGTTAGATTGTTCTTGTTGTTGGAAGTCAGTCATCTCACCTCCAGGACATCATTGTCAGAGTTCCTCAGAGGAGTGTGCTAGGCCAGATCTCCTTCAGCATTCTTCAACAATGACCTTCCATCTGTCATACTGTCAGAAAATTGTGATGTTTGCTAATGATTACACAATGTTCGTCACCATTCACGGCAACTCGGAAACTAAAACAGTTTACGTCTATATGCAAAAAGACATGCACAATTTCCAAGCTTGGGTTGGTAAGTGGCAGGAAACGTTCATGCCTTCAACAATTAGTCCCTTCACCACCAATGCGCAGTACCATATGTGTGCATCATCTACAAGATGCACTGCAATAACTGATCAAAGTTCCATTGACAGCACCAACTAAACTACAACCTCTAACACCTAGAAGGACAGGGCATCAGATGTATAGGAACAACATCACCTGCAAGAATCCCTCCTAGTCACAGCATTCTGACTTGGAATTATATCACGATTGCTTCGTTGTTGGTGGATCCAAATCCTGGAGCTTCCTTGTTAACAGCACTATGGATGCCCCTGTTCTCCAAGGACTGTAGAGTTTTAAGAAGGCAGCTCCCCACCACCATCCTCCGGGCAATTGGTGAAGGACAGTAAATTTAGTCTAGCCAGTGATGCACACATCCCATGAGCAATTTTTAAGAAATGATCAAAATTGAAGGGGGAGCCTGTTCCAAAGTCGTCTTGAGTGAAAAAGAGTGGAGTTCCATTACGAGAAAAAGAAAACACAACAATAAGCACACACTCGGATACAAGTAATGAGATTCCAAAGAAGGACAGGGAAGGGTATCAGGACTCATGCAGGAAGACATAGTTAATTGCAACTTTTTTTTTTTAGAATCGTTGACCAGAAGCAGCTGTTATTAAAAGTCTATTTGATTATTGCTGAAACAAAAAGCGAAATTGCTGGAGCAACTCTGCATGTATAGCAGCATCTGGGGAGAGAAAGCAGAGTTGACGTTTTGAATCCATTGACCCTTCTTCAGAACTCAATATTCCTATATCTGCTCATTGATTTCCTAAGCTGAGTACTCTTAAACAAAACTTTTCATCTCAATGCCTAACTTCCGGAAAGGTGTGAAACAATGGAGGGATTTGTGTCCTTTTATAATGATGTTAATTTTGGCTCAGACTGATCTTTGTTTACTGATGGGTTCATGAACTTGACTCAACTTAGACAGGTGATCATAGCAGCCACTTGTCAGTATTTTACATTTTTCCACTCCTCTTTAATCCACGTATCTAGTCTCTCCAGAGAACTGAACACTCTCACCCCTGACATCATTCTAGTAAATGTCTTCTGCACTCTACCAAAGGTCTTGACATCCTTCCTAAAATATGTGGCCAAAATTGAACCAAATACTCCAGCTGAGTCTGAGTTTTTAAAAAAAAAAAAAAAAATTGTAAAAGGTACTTGCTTTTATAATCTTTATAATAACGGCAGCAGTCTTGTTTTTTTAACAGCTTATCAACTTTGTCTTCCACATTAAAATATTTTGTATATACATTCCTAAACTGTCTCCGATCTTGCTCCCCTTTTAGAATCATCCATTTGGTTCATAGTACCTCTCCTTATGCTTCTTCCAAAAGGTATCCCTTAAGACTTTTCTGTATGATATTTCATCGGCTGTGTGTCTGAGTTTTTCATTCATCTGCTTATGTCTTCAAGAAGAGGTATTTCTTTACATATTGTTTGTTATATTTCTGAATTTTATGTAATCTGCAGACTTAGATATCCAAAGCATATAATTTCAATCAAAAAGAGCTGTGGTCCTACTGCAGACTCCTGGGAAATATCACTCTATGCCTTATACAAGTTTAAGAAACAACCCCTCATTGTCACTCTTGGGTTTCCGTCTTAGCCAATTTTGTGTCCACACTGCAACAGTCCATCTAATCCCATGAGCATTAATTTTAACAACAAATCTACAGTGTGACACATTTTATAAATGCCTTTTGCAGTACATATACAGATCATCAACCACATTACCCTAATCAGTCCTCTCCATAAAGTAATCAAAGATGGATATAGTATGAGTTAAACACAATTGGCCTTTGATAAATTCAGGTGCTAATTAATTTTGTATTTGAAAATCTTTCCACAGATGTTAGACTGTCTGGTCTATGGTGCAAGGTTTATCTCTCTCCTGTTCTTGAACAGGGGTTAAACATTTGCAAAATTCTAGTTCTCTTGCATCAGAATTACATCTAAAGGAGGACTGGAATACCCTGAATTTTCAACCTTACTTACCTCTGTAAACTAGGACACATCCCATTTGTACCAAGTGCTTTTCTATTTTGAGTAGTGCCAACCACTTGAGGTATCTCCTCTTTAAATATTTTTATCCTATACAATTTTCAGAACCACCTCTTTCACTGCTACATTAACAAAATCCCCTTTTCTAGTGAAGATAGAAGCAAATAGAGGGCATGATTGCAAAACATCTGCACAAGAATTCTTCTTGGTTGCCAATAGATGCCACCCTTGCTTTGACTACTTTTGTGTTATGTTTTATGTTAGTTTCAGGCTATTCTTAGAGCCTCTATACATCTTTTATTTCCTCTTTGAGAGCTTTTCTGTATTTTTTTATATTCATTTTAAGTTTCAACCTTCAGATCTTTACTTCATTCATTCACAGAAAATGAGTGTTCCTGGCTAGACAAGTAGTTACTGCCCATCCCTAATTGTCTAGAATTAAGGGACAGTCACATTGCTGTGGGTCCGGTCTCATGTAAGGCAGATTAGGTAAAGATGGCAGATTTCCTTGTCTGCAGAACATTCATGAACCAGATAGGTATTTATGACAATCAGCAGTGGTTACAGGGTTACTATCAGGCTAGCCTTTTATTACAGTTTTTTTTTTAGTGAATTGAAATTTCAATTTCTGCCAAAGTGTTATTTCTATCCTGATCCTCAGAACAAGTCTGGAATTCCAGATTTCTAGTCTTGTAATGTTGCCACTAGAGTACCCCTCTCTCTTGCATTTCATCATAATTTGCCTTATTCTGCTTCATCTAATTTCCAACCTCTTACTTATCCAGAGAGCTTTACTTGGTTATCCTTCCTCTCCTGTGCCTGCCACCCCCCTTAACCCACCATGTATTCTATACCATACTATTTCCTCTTTGAAGGCCTCCCATTGTTTACTATTTTTAATTCTAATCCACTAGCTTGGACCCATTTGACCTTACTAAAATTAGATCTTCATTTAAATGTTATCGCTAATTTGGTCATTGATCTTTTCCATAACAATTCTTGACCTATGTTATAATCACAGTTTCCTCGTGCTGACCAATGGAAGCAGGTTCTCCATCCCGCAATTATTTCCAATGACTGCTTCCAAAGCTAAGTGTGGAGCTGGAGGAACACAGCAGACCAGGCAGCAGCAGAGGAGCAGGAAAATTGATGTTTTGGGTCGGGACCCTTCTTCAGAAAGGATTTCTGAATCAAATGGATTTCTGAAAAAGGGTCTCGACCTGAAACGTCAATTTTGCTACTGCCTGGCCTGCTGTGTTCCTCCAGTTCCACATTGTGTTATCGCTGACTCCAGCATCTGAAGTTCTTACTGTCTCTGAGTGAACTGCGTCCAAAGCTGTTTCTTTCCTCTAAACAAGGATGTTTTTGATAGACGTTCCTAGAATTCATTGCCATTTTGTCAAATTTATTTTCCCAGTCTGTATGTGATTGATTATTAAGTATCAATACTATAATACGTGATGACCCCCATTAAGGACTCTATTAAAAGCAGAATTAACAAAAACATGATTATGTTGCTGTTATTATTCAGAGAAGCTATTCTGAAAAGCAGTATTGATCAGTGTTGAAAAAAAATAGTTGTTTCAGCATTATAGACTGGAGTTGTGCACTGGATTTTTGCAGAAATCCCCACACAGCTGAGTTGAAGGGAAATTGAAAATTCCAACTGATAATTTCACTTGGATCTGGAAGCCTCTGGAAAACCTCCTTGATGTTGAAAGATTTGGAGGCTTCCAACTCATGCTTAACGGCCAGGGAAAATTAAAGGATTGAAACCTGCTATTGTTCAAGGGTAGCTATGAAACAGCCCATGATTCCTCACTGAACCTTCCCCTTCTCCTGACCTCTGACATCCATCCAGATCTGACACACCTCCCCTACCTTACCCAACCCCCCCTCACTACCCACCCAACCTGACCTGGATTCAACACCCTCCATTCCCTGCTAATGCACTGGGCCTGATCCCCTCCCCCTCCCCCTCCCACCCAACCAACCAGCCAGCACCCACATGGCAGTCTAACGTGTGCAACCACCTGCCACCCTAAGCCTCCACCGACCGGACACCATACTCCACACCAGCCCGCTCCATCCCACACACCTGTCATCCTATCCCTCACTTATCTTACATAAGTAACCTTTCACAGAAGCTTTCAAAGTGCTTGGCTTTTAAACCTCAGACCACAGCACTCAGTGCTGTAAAAGAGGGCATAGTTTCAATGACAGTCATATCTACTGCTGGATTTGAGGAATCATGTACAAAGGGAGGCCCCTCTCCTCAAATCCCCAGTTCACAAATTATCAAAATCAAAGTGGTATTGTTTTGATCTATTTGCAGATAGAATTAGGTCTCGATCCTAATTGGAATTTTTAGGCCATTAATTGAGGAGTTTTTGAGGAAAAGCTGTAAATTTGGTTGCTCTTTGTAAAAACATGTAATGAATCCTGGGTGTTGAAGGATTTAAATAATTTGAATATTTTGGAAAGTTCCTGATTTATTTTTCAAATTGTGAAAATTAAATAGCACTACAGACCCAACACTGAAAGCAGGAAGAGATTTACCATTCAAAAGGATCATTGCAAATAACAAATTATGGATTATGTAACAGTATCAACAGTTTTGATAACAATCAACAATGATGTTGATTTGGTAATTGTGTGAATTGAGTGCTTTGGGATATCCATTTCTTCCCAGGTACTTTGAAATTTCATCAAGTTTTAATATAAAAAAATAAGTATAGGTTTCATTAGCAACAAAATACTAATTGCATGTAAACATTTTGCTGCAGATAGTTTACAAAGATGGCCATTTTTAGGGGACTACAGTTATTACCTCAATAATGCATAGAAATTGTAAATCCCAACAGATTAAACTTTATTGGCTGAATGATATTTCTATTATAAATAAATTCCTGATACAGCCTACTTTTAATGAATTTAATTGGGATTTGACCTTGTGATGACTCTGAACAATGCATCTAAGTTGCAGTAAGATGAAAATGAAAGTTTAATCAAGTGGAGCAAATGCCACAAATAGCCATGTTAGAAAGTTTGCATGTTGAATAGTTCACACTTAAATATTATGAAGTTGGTTTTACATTAAAGTTAAATTGAACTTCTTCCTTTGCCATTTTAAAATACAGGCTTAATGTTTTACATTTCATCTCCTATCTCTGCTCCCTGTGAAAGAGCTGGCTCCTATATATTGGAGATAGTAGGAACTGCAGATGCTGGAGAATCTGAGATAACAAGGTGTAGAGCTGGATGAACACAGCAGGCCAAGCAGCATCAGAGGAGCAGGAAGGCTGATGTTTCGGGCCTAGACCCTTCTTCAGAAA